TTGCTACGGTACGAAAAGTGCAAAAACGCATAATCGCACCGGCCCGCCTGGTGCGTTCCAGCCTGGTTTCTTCTTCCCTCACTGGCTTTGTTCTTCCTCTGCTTTCTCTTTCTTTCGCATATCCGTCTTGCGAATAGTCACATTACTATTCAGTGCATGTTGAGTAAGAGACTGCACTGTTGATTCCCGCTCCTATTCTCATGCAAAATTCGGTCTCTGTGTTTGCAGCTAAGGGATGAAACACAGACTGCATCTTAAAATGTATTAAACACGACACTTAATTCAGTCACTTTATTCGGTTGCCTCTTTTTTTTCTTGTTTTTTGGCGTCATTTTTTCTGATGGTCCGCCAACAAAAAATATTCAGATTTTTCCACTTCAGCCTGGTTTTCTTGGGGTTTCCGGAAGCCTTGCTATTTATGAAGAAAATAGAAGTCAAATCAATTTCAGAAAGGTGGAGGGAAGCTGCAGTGACAGAAAGGCAAATATCAAAGTTTTTCACCACTGTGTTCCTTTGTATTCTTACTTAACCGTTTTATGTGCAGTTCAGTATGCTTTACTATAGCAAACATGTTTTCATTTAATCCTCAAAATGTGTTGAGAATATTTCGACAACAACAATCAAAACGAGCAAACTACCGCAAATACATCGAGCCATTTGTACTGAAGGCATCATTTTTTTTCTGATAATTCAAGGCGAAGCCAAGATCTAAAGATACATTACGACATAAAGTCGTAGAAAATGAAAAAAACCGCAACCGCAGCATGCTGCTGGTAGCATTGACGTTCGAAGGAAAAGAAGAAACCTGAGAAGACAGGAAACTGTTTGGGCGGGATCAAATCGAGCACATTAGAAAGATGGTGCTATCTTGCATTTTGGCAATGAGTTGGCACGGATGCGCAGTCAAACGCTCAAAGCACTTCAGTTTACCGTGATTTGTTTAGGGCTTGAAACAAATTCAGCTTGATGCTTCCGAGATGTGCAAAAAGGGGAAAGCACAAGCAGTTTTGAAATTGTTGCTAATTAATAAAACTGATACAATTCTGGTCAAAGCCACCACACTCTCAAGAAAAAATTGAAAGCAATAAGCTCTGAACGCAGTCTTAGTGCTGATTTCAGATTCGAATCCTTGCACATAACCGAGAATCGGTTTACTAATTTAGCTTTCTAGATTCAGTAAATTAAGAGTTAAAATTTAAGGTCAAGCAAACAATTAACGATTGCCCTTTAACTCCCACATATGGTCTGACTTTAATACGTTTTGCGCCCAGATGTATTAGAATGGAGTGGATTATGAAACTGTTGCCCAAAAACAACCAGAGAGCAACACAAATATGAACTTTAAACCCATATGCCTGTTATTTGGTATTTTCGTAGTATTTTCTTTTATCCATTCTTTAGAATGCATTTTCAGCGACGCAACAAATCGACCAGCTCAGATAGATACTTTAGTTGCTGTCAATGCTGCTGCAGCTGGTGCTGTTGGCGTCTCCAACTGTGATTTATTTCTGAAAAAAAATAGATTTTAGTACCATTACCAAAATTTTCAGTAGCCCTTCATAGAAAAAGGCGGTCTATAAAAAATAAGTTTTTTGCTCGTATGAGGGGGAATCGGTAACACATTTATGGTATAAAACTGGTGACTTTCGCGACGAGGTAATGATCCAAAACATGCATAAACATACATACATACAAATACACACACTCAAACACATAGCAGTGTCATCTTGAAACGCCTACAGCAATATCAAATGCTTCTAATTACTTTAGGAGATCAAAACTGCTCCATTTTCCTCTTGCACGTTGTAATTTGCTTAATTTGCATAAATGCAACGATGTAAAAGAAGGCAAACATTTGAGGAAATCCTCGCTGTTGATCGTTGGCGGCCGTCTCCAGTGATTGCTGCGAACTACAGAACGCATTGAAAATGGTAAAAGACTGAAATTTCGATCCTCACAATCATCCCAGCCGCTGTCCTTTCTCTGTTTCCGGTTGTTCACATGCAGTGGCTTGCGCGGATTTTTTAGCGCCCTTCGTTCACTTCGTTCCGTGGGGACTGCTTCCACTGCTTCCAGCGCGTAATTGTTTCCTTGATTGCTGTCCCAATACTCTGTCCCATTCACAACATAGCGTATACAGAACTGGCACGTCGCACCCACCTGCAATTATGATTGGTAAAG